AAAGCAATGAACCGAGCTAACCAAAGACTGAGGCACTGGAACCGTGAGCCAAAATAAGACTTTCCTCCATTTAATTTATGTTGGATTTTTTTGTCATAGCCATGGAAAGCCAACAAACACACTAATAAAGGTAATGGTCTATCATGAAGATGTAACAATATGTGACAACATTAATATTGACAAATATAGAATTGAGGGGAAGACAATTGTCACTGGGCAAGTACTTTTAGGGACAGGCATTTATGTTTATGTATATGTGTGGGGTGTGTTATGCACCTTTAAATATTTGTTAGTGCCCTTTGATTTTGTTTGTTTATTTCGGATAAGAACCTCCACAGAAACTTGCAAAGAATCATCCAATATCACCAAGTCATTCTGACTCAATCTTTCTTGGTGATCTGGATGGAGTAAACTTTGATTTTATAATACTATGCTCTCGGCCCAGAGGTGTTCCATTTCCATGTTTTTGTTTTTAAACTTGCAATGTATGACCTTGACTAAGCATGCTCAGAGATTGCCTTTGCATGTGATGTTAAGTCTTCCTATATGAACACAAATAGGTTTCTATTTGTATTCAATTGCATTCTTTACTTGCTCACAAATGTTAAATATTTCTTCACTCTTTTATTTCCTGGCTGTGCTTACAGGCTTTTCACTCACAAACAGGTGGGTGAACTAACGACATTTATTCAAATAATTAAAATGAAAAGATTGCAAATTGAACATTATAGTAGAAAATTTATAGTAGAAAATTAATAGAAAATAATGAAAGAAGGAAACAAAGTTTTGAGAACTAAATTAGATATGTAAAAAAATTCTACAGTCAGGAAATATAGTAAACATATTATATCAAAATTAATACACTTACAAAAATTGATTATATATAAAACACAAAACTGATAATTTTGAATTCTTTCTTTTACCTTAGTGATGGTAAATTTAAAATTAACAGTGAAAAAAAATTAAATTTAAAAACTGAAAAATATATGTAATTTGTTTTTTAATGACAAAACTCAGAGCATTGATAGTTCTAAGTATCAGATTTGACAGACACAATTTAAACAGTAAAATGAAAAACTACATTTATAACATAACTTACATTTATAAAGAGTAAGACATAAAAGAAAGTTTAACTGTTCAACTCAGAGGTTATGATGACCATGAGTTAAAGATAGGAGATTATTTATGTAAAAGAAAACCTTATTGTAAAACTAATTATTTAGATAATTAAAATAAAGTTTTCTTTTTATTTTTAAAAAGTCAGTAAAATAGATATCATCATAGAAAGAGTGAGATGGACACAGAAATACAAAATAGTAACCGAGCACAGAACCAAAATGCAGACATTTAAAAAATGAAAATAAAATGCTATGACTAAAATTTATTTCAATGAGTTTAAAATTAGTTTAAATTTCATTATGAAAAAATAGAATTTTAAACAAGTAAAAGACAGGGTCTCCCTGTAGCCCAGCAGTCCTGGCCTTGAAAACTATCCAATTTGACTTGCGGGGCGAGCATAACATTGACAAAAACCCTAGAAAAGGACAATAGAAGAAAAGGAATTTGTTGCAAACATCTAAAAGGTGGACCTATATGCAAGAAATGTAAGTTAATCAGGTGAACGAACGTTCCTTAAAAATCAAACAAAATGCATCTTCTCAGATAAAACAGAATTTAAAACCCAAATGTAAAAGCAGGAGAACCTTTTATGCTGACAGCATTAAGAATAGAAAAGGAGAAAGTCACTCATGAATCTCCGTTCAGTGACTAGGAAAATAAGCGACGTGCAGGTAAGACTGACGATCCCTTTGCAGGCACGAGGCACCTTGAGACATGAGCCTGGGTGCTCTAAATCGCCAGCGAGCCTCTTCATGAACCTCTCCAACCGAGAAAATCTCATTCCAAAGTGACCACGGGTCATTTTTCTCTGATTAAAAATTAATGGGGTGGTGGGGGCTGGGAGACTGGCGAGATGGTTCAATGGTTAAGAGCACTGTCTGCTCTTGCAGAGGACCTGGGTTCAGGTCCCAGCACCTACACAGCGGCTAACAGGCATCTGTAACTCCAGTTCTAACTGATGTGTCGCCCTCTTCTGACCTCCCTGGGCATTGCACGATATGTGGGCACTCTTAACATACATACAGGCAATACACTCATACACATAAAATTAAAATAATAAAATATTTTTAAATGAAATTGAAAATAATTGGATTGTTGCTTTCTTGGTTGGTATGCACACTAAAATAATTAAAATGGCAAATTATACTTTGGGTCTTTTATTTTTGAGTATGTGAATATATTTAGATAAAAGAACAAAAATGAGATTTAACTCACATAGGAAAACATCAACAGATTGTCTCAACCATATAATCCACGAAGTTAGAAAACAGGGTCAGCTCACTTTGAGTTTAGAAGGAAAAGCAAACAACAGTGTTGATAGCCCAAGAGGAATCTAGGTCTTTTTTCCTCTCTTGGGCTCAAAATCACTACAAATTAGAGGATACAAGTTGTTTCCTGGTGACAATGTTCCTTCATTCGTGACTTAGTAAAATTCTACAATATTATGTCTAACAAGCCCCATTGGGATATTTTATTCACTTTCCCATCTCCTGAACATGTTCCCTACAGCTCCTATAGATATTGTTATCTGATTTTATGAACTATATTCCTTGTGGAGACTTGATAAATACATGCACACACACACACACACACACACACACACCTATGTTTACTGAGTATGAAAATACATATATGAGTTCCAACTTTTGGTTAATCTGCTTGGAGATCAGTGTGTAAGAATGTTTTGGAGTTCTTGAAATTGTAATAAATCAAGCTAGTGGGTTATGTTTATGTAATCTGTGAAGGTGTCCTGACCTAAAAGACATTCGATTTCCTTCTGTATTTGTGTCCATACTTATGGACCACAGTGGGTAAGGACAGCATCAGTATCCTCATCTTATCATAACTTTTCTTCAGTGAAAACCAGAGCTAAGCAAAGTGACAGCCCCTTTGCTTGAATGGAAACAGGTCTCGGTATGTGTGGTAGATCTCTTTTCCTCCCCTCTATATACCTGCAGAGCATATTAAGAGTTGACTGAGCTAACCAGAAAATAAGATCATCTCATTTTTGAGAAATCCAGCCTCCATGAGGCATTTTGCATCTCAGGGTTATCTTGGAAGAAAAGAATTCCTTCACTAACAGCTGTTTGCTTTACGCTGCCTGTATACAACGTGTCTCCTCATGTGCATCCGTAAGTCTAAGAAAGATTTCTTAGATAATCTAATCTTTATTCATTGTGCATTTTCAGACAGACTAGAATGAAAGACCACAACTGAAAATGCAATTGCTATTGTCTATTAATTCCAAAGTCCTGCTATTTATATACTTAACTACTAGGATAACCTGAAAGCTATGAACACTTTCAGATATACTTAAGATGGATAATTTCTTATGCATTTGCTATTGCATTTCTTATATAAATTGATAGAAAAAATAACTAAAAGATTTGTTTCTAAAGGTTTGTATTGCCTCATGAAATCGAGTAGTGATTTCTTAAAATTCTGAGTCTAAAGTAGTGATTTCTTAAAATTCTGAGTCTAAGCTACAGCAAAACAGATTATGGTTTTTTTTAAAAAAGTGTCTCAAAGGCCTTTTTTTGAATGTGAAACTCATTTTTATGAAAGAAACATGAGAGCTATCATGTTTGTGGTCCTTTCATAAAAAGGTTATCTGTGCCAACAAGAGGAACAGTCTCATGTACCTTCCACCACAGCACTAATGGAACACAGTGTATATTTTGCAAAAAACTGCGAGTTTTATAACTTGTGATTTGGATACTTGGATGTGGGACGAATATAAAGTGATGCTCGTTGGTTATTATACATTTCATTGTGTTCCTTCATTGTATGAAATTTTACAAATATTATCTTCATGGGTTCCAAATATCATAAACACACTGGAGTGAAATGGATTATCACTTTTCCGTATATTGTGAGAGCATTCAGCTGACAATTTTATTAATGATATTGAATAGAATAGAATAAAAGATAATACCACACACACATCATACAAGGTTAGGACTGTGTGTGTGTGTGTGTGTGTGTGTGTGTGTGTGTGTGTGTGTGATACACACACATCATACAAGGTTAGGACTGTGTGTGTGTGTGTGGAAGATAATTCTTACTGTGGTATGTAGAAAAAAATGTTAGAAATTCTAAGTGTGTATGCACTAGGAAGATAATTCTTACTGTGGTATGTAGAAAAAAATGTTAGAAATTCTAAGTATGGATTGGGAAGTGTATGTGTACAAATAAAGCAAATTAACTATAGAGCGTAAGACAGACAATAGATAACTCTATTCTGTCCATAAGGCCATCTGTTGTTATGAAAGTGAAAAGACAGTGGACTCAATTTATAATAATAAATCCAGATAACATCCTAGCAAACTTCCATTCTCTCTATGTAACTCAAGTTTATGTTGGCAAGTTATTGTTTATGTCTTATTAGGACAGAAATTTATTCTAGCAAAGATCACAAACCTAATATTTGATAAGGGATCGTGGGCATACTTAGTCCTCAGTCTCCTTCCACACCCTGATGACCACACACAGCACACTTACACACCTGTGAATAACTGTCCACTGCAACCCAGCAATACTGGGGGCAAATGTCTGATGCAACCAACACAAACTGAAACAAGCATCTGACACCGTGAGGGTGACTTATTGACATATTTTGAACTTTAGAGAAAATTGATTTGAACATGAAATTTGTAATTGCTGAATAATATATTACTTCTTAACTTGTAAATTTTCTACTGATTCTTTGGAATGCGTAGTTTTCACTTAGTGACTAGCAAGTCAAAAATTTCATGGTGCATTTTTTTTTCCTTAGGAAACCCTCAACATGACATTCACAGATGTACCATGTTTAAATACCTGCCTTGGATATTTAGAGTGGGTTCTGACTTGGTGTGCTTCTTTGTCTCTTTCACAGGGAAATGGAAGGAAATGAGACGTCTATCACACAATTCATCCTACTGGGATTTCCACTCAGTCCCCAGATGCAGATGCTCCTCTTTGCCCTCTTCTCCCTGTTTTACACCTTCACTCTGCTGGGAAATGGCACTATCTTGGGGCTTATCTGCTTGGACTCCAGACTCCACACTCCTATGTATTTCTTCCTGTCCCAACTGGCTATTGTTGACATAGCCTATGCCTGCAACACGGTGCCCCAGATGCTGGTCAACCTCGTGGATCCAGACAAGCCCATCTCCTTTGCTGGTTGCATGACACAGACCTTTCTCTTCTTGACTTTTGCACACACAGAATGTCTCCTCCTGGTGGTGATGTCCTATGATCGGTATGTGGCCATCTGCAACCCCCTCCGATATTCTGCCATCATGAGCTGGAGAGTTTGTATTACCCTGGTGGTAACTTCCTGGATTTTAGGAGTCCTCTTGGCCTTAGTCCATTTAATATTACTTTTACCATTACCTTTCTGTGGGTCTCAGAAAGTGAATCATTTTTTCTGTGAAATTATAGCTGTTCTCAAACTTACCTGTGCAGATACCCACATCAATGAACTCATGGTTTTGGCTGGTGCAGTGTCTGTGCTTGTGGGACCATTTTCTTCAATTGTGGTATCTTATGTTCATATTCTGTGTGCCATCCTGAAGATTCAGTCAGGGCATGGGTGCCAGAAAGCCTTCTCCACCTGCTCCTCCCACCTCTGTGTGGTTGGACTTTTTTATGGCACAGCCATTGTCACGTATATTGGGCCTCAACATGGGAATTCCAAGGAGCAGAAGAAATATCTCCTGTTGTTTCACAGTCTTTTCAATCCCATGCTCAACCCGCTGATCTATAGTCTGAGGAACAATGAGGTCAAAAGTGCTCTGAAGAGGGTGCTCATAAAAGAGAGTGCTTCATGAAAGACTTAAAGAATGAAGGGTTTACAGTTATCTAAGAAACCATCTCATCCAGTACATGTAAGCTTGCTCAAGGGCATCCTTTCCTTCTTAAAAATGGTGCTTGGAAACCTCCCAAGAATGCCCCTGTGCTTTTCCTTCTCTAACACTGACTGTTCGTGGTCCAAGTAACAAAACCACACACTAGCAACACAATGCATAGTCTTTGAATGTGGTTATGTGAAATTATGGCAATAATGGAAGATAAACTTACTTTTTTGATATTTTGTAGGCAAGTTTTGAATAAAATGAGACAAGATTTCTAGGGCATTTAAGATGATAGTTATAAAAGATTGATAGCATACTTTTTAAAGTATTTTTAACTCAACCCACGTTATCACCTTTTAAAATATGTCTGCATCTAAATGTATTCCTATAACGGTAATGTTTTCTAAGACATAGTCACCTTAGGGCAGAAGAGGATAAGGTGTGGCCTCAAGGGAAGGTGCTTTGAGAGTATAACTGATGCAGCTAGCCACAGGAAAACTGCAGCTGCGCGTTAATAAGGATATGGTTATATGAAACTTTCCTTTAAAAATATTTACTTATTATTATTATTGTATGTGTGTGACATATGTCGGGGGGGTACATACCATGGTATGAGTGTGGAGAGCAGAGTACAACTTCTGGGAATTAGTTCTCTCTTCACACTATGGGTTCCAAAGCAAGCACTTTTTTCTATCCATCTTGCCCATAGCAGTTGTCTGAAGGGCTCTTGATTTCTCTCTTTCTCTGCTTGGAGAGCAGAGATCTATGAGAAGCAGAGCTGAGAGGAAGGAGGCAGGATGGAGGTAACCGAGAATACCTGAAATAAATGCAATTTTTTTCTCATTGGTTTGGCCAGCTTCATCCTATGGAAAATGGTCACTTCTTGGATAGTCCATTGTGGAAAATAAGAAGAGATTATGCTTATTGTGATATCTAATTGACCAATGAAAATAGACCTAGAAATTAAGGGAATGATTCTGTCAGCCATTAAGATATTTGAGGGAAGTTAACCTGTGTATCCAAACCTGAAGCTCTTCCACTTAATTGAGTGGGAAATAATAGTTGAGAAGCAGAGAAAAAGGAGCAATGAAGACATTTTTTCAACTTTTTCCTCAAATCACACACAACTCAAACCTTAACAACCTGTGTATAAGGGAAGTAGTCAACTTCGTTTTTAAGGTGAGGATTTTGTACAAAAGAATTTTTCTTTTTTTATTGAGCTTTTAAAATTTCATACAATACTTCCCACTCACATCCAGACCCCCTCCCCCATTCATGCCTCCCCCGCCCCCCACAAAACCCTTTGCAGTCTGCCATCCATGCTGAGTCCTAGTCATTCAGGTGTTTGTACCCAAATGTCCTTCAGTGTAAATGCTTCCACTGGAGTCTAGTCAGCCCATCCAGTGCTTGTATGTAAGTCAGACTCTCCTTCACCCAGTACCAACCAGTCTCCAAAAAAACCCACAAATTTTTCAAGAGGAAGATATAAGAATTTATCTCTCACAAAGTCTCATCCTTACATGATCTATAAAGAGCAAGGGCAGCTTATAAATGAATGAACAGAAATCAAGTTTCCCATTTTACTACTAAGAAGCAGAGATCTTACAAAATCCATCATTTTATGTAATGCAAAATGCCATGACAGTAAATCATTTATGAACTAAATGACTCACAGAGCCTTTCCTTTCAACTTAATTCGCTAAAGAAAGAATAAATATAAAAAAGGACCAATGTATGCAAAATACATGTTTTAAAAGCCATCTGTGTATATGTTTATGGACACATAAATTCCCATGTGTGTACACATGCACACGTGCGTGCGCGTGCACACACACACACACACACACACACACACACACACACACAAATTCCCATGTGTGTACACATGCACACGTGCGTGCGCGTGCACGCACACACACACATACACACACACACACACACACACCCTAAGTCCTTGAGATAAAGGGATGAGTGGACAGCTTTGCTACTACTTTGATCACTGTCATGTAAACCAGACATATGGATGGAAAGCAAAACAGATACATAGAAGAAATTAGCAATTCTATTCAATAAGTTAACCCCTGAGCTATGCACGGGTGTTCATGTAGGCCAGAAGAATTCAAACTGGCCCAGGATGGGAGTAGTTGACTGAAGCCTTCCTGAATTAAAGGAGAAGAAGAGAGAGCCAGAGGTGCTGGGGGAAGATGCTTGGCAGGAAGGGGTGTTCCCCCAGGGGAACAAGTACCACATAAGCTGTGGGAGGACCTACAACCAGCATAGGGTATTTTTAAGGCATCAAATATAGGACTGGTGAGAGGCAAGATGAGACAGAGTCTGGAGTGATTCCTGCTCCAGGCTGACAGTCCTTACATAACTCCTGTATGAACCATAAAGCTAGGCTACAAGTATGAAAATAAAACCTTCATTTAGAAAAGCCTCCTGGTACTGTGTGAAACGAGGGTTTGAAGTAATAAGTTTAGTGATCAGAGAAATCAGTTTAGAAGCTTCTGCATCCGTCCTGGCAAGAAATGATGGATAGGGTCTGAACTAGAGAGGGAAACACGAAAATAGAATGGGGTGGGGGTGAAGTGGAGAACGAGAAGGACAACCATTCAGTGGTTGGCTAATATAAGAATTAATGCAGAAAAGAATTTTTTAGCATCGTTTTTACTGAAGAAGCACAAAATGTAGGTTCAGCTCAGTGGAAGATCACAAGGGCAACATGATCGTGTGACTACTTCCTGCATAAGCTATAAAGCGTTTCCTCACACTCTCTCCCCGTTACTGCACCTCTTCCTTTTCTCCACATAGCAAACAGCTATGACCTTGACTCGCAGCAGTCTGTATTAATACTGTACTCTCTTGGACTTTGTAGGAATAGAACTGATGCCTTTAAAGTGTCCGTTGTTTTTAATCTGCCTTCTGTCTGTCATTGTTCCTCAGATTCCTCCAGGTTAAGTGGAACCACAATTCACTAATTTTCATTGTTTTATAGGAAAGTATTGTATAAATCTCAATGCAGAGATTCTATTTGGGAATAGATATTTGAGTTATCTACAATTTAAACAATAATAAATCATTTATTCTGTAAATGTTATTATATACATCTTTTTAAAAGCATGTGCCATCACTTTTACTGGTTATATACCCAAGGAAGAATGTCCTAGACTTGGATTTCTTTTCTGTGAATACCAGACAGTCTGAATTATTATCATTTACTCATGACCTGTGACTCTCTCACACTGAGCTGGAATTTGAAACACAATAATAAACAAAATGACATTTCTACCCAGGCTTACAGTCTAATGAGGGAGATTGCTGCTATTCTGATAATGAAGCCCAAATACAATACTGAATCAGCCTATTTTGCTTTCTTCTGAGCAGAAGAAAAAAGAATAAGGGGCCAATTTATTCCTTTATGATTGGCACTATCTTTTTAGTGCGTAAACAATGAAAATTCTGGGGCATAGGAAAGGTGACGACGAGGTTATTAAATTATAAATGGAGGTGACAGGAGTTTTAAACTATTCTGTTGAAGATATTTCAGCCTTACTTGACAAAATAAGCTTCTTTGTCCATGCTGGGGATCAAACTCAGTGCCTTGCACATGCCAGGTAAGTGCTCTGCCACTGAGCACATGCTCAGCCACAAGCCTCTTTTTATAGCAGCCTCATCCTGCTGCATGTATTGGTTTCCTCTGGGAGGTCTGCATTTCTTGGTGAGGATTAGATGCTTTCTGCTAACATTGATTTCTCTGGGCCTATTATAGGATCTATCTAGTACCCAATCCTGGAGCACGGAGTTGTGAAAGTATGTTCTTTTATCATGCTTACTTAATAGCAATTGCATCTTTGTCATGTTCCCTTGCTATGAAGCTACCGCCCTGCCTGATGGTCATGCTCCAGAAGTACAACCAGGGAGTGGAGAGGAATACTTCCTGTCCTCTCAGATTTGTTGCCATTGTGTGCAGCAACCTCTGTGATTTCAAATCAGGACGGGAAAGGCAGCATGTACATGCATCCACTACATGCATCTTTCTCCTCTCTCTCTCTCTCTCTCTCTCTCTCTCTCTCTCTCTCTCTCTCATTATGTGCCCTGGCTGGCCTGGAACTCACATAGATCCCCCTGTTTCTGCCTCCCAAATGTTGGGATTAAGGGTGTGTAACACCACACCCAACTAAAACACTCTCTTTCTAAAAAGTTATATATATGTGTGCATATCGAGGGAGAGTTCATAAAACCAGCCCCTGCTGAGCAAGAAAAACAGTAGCTTGTTTATTGCACAAAGTTGTCTTCTAGGAGGTCCTGCCAAATATTGTATATCGGACAGTCCACCCAGACCCACAGAGCTACAGGGAAGTATTTAACTGCTGGTTGGCCAATGGTTTCTCACTCCATGGGGTATTAATTACTTCACACTGGAGGTCACATATACATCACCATCATGGCCATCAGCCAGTCCACTGTGACTTATGCCTAGGGGCCAAAATAGAGTCACATATCCAAAAATAAGAAGAATGGCGAGGCTCTCTTAGGATACTTCTGGTTATGAACTGTGGAGTAGCGTTTCCTCTTTCTGCCTATATATCTTCTACAATTATACATTTGACTTTGTAGCATAAGACTTCCTTTCAAAAGAAAGTAATAGCAATGTGGCTCTGTTCCATGGTTATTCGGTTTTGGAGTTTCTACCTTCAACCTAAATTGAAAAAAGCTACAAATCAGATTCAAAAGGCAGAAAATGGATCAATAATATATATGTATGACAATCACAGCAAAGTCCATTATTTTGTGCAGTGAATATATGCTAATGAGAGAGAGAAAACATTTTTCTTTAATCTCCCCACCCCACTTCTTCCATACAGATTCATATAAAAAAAACGGAAGCACAAAAACTTAATACAAGGAACTTCCTTAAACTTCCTTTCTGGCGTTCTTAAAGTTCTAAGACCCTACACATTTCCCCCAAAGTTCTA